GAGCCAATCTGCTTTTTTTTCCAGTAAAACCTTCTGTGTAGTGAAATTCTGATAGGAAACCGCGTACCTGTCAAAAGCTCGGGAATGGCCCGGGGGTTGGCAAATGCCCGGTCCCCTGGCAGTGCAAAATTTGCAAATGCCCCACCCCCGGGACTGACAAGGCGGGCAAATGCCCCGCAGTAGCCCGGGGGAGGGGGAGGGCTATGCGCAGGCAGAATTGACTGGTGCATAACCTCGTAGCAATCAGAAATCAAAGGGTTTGTTTTACTGCCTGGTATTCTAGCGACTGTGTGCGACGTTCCTAATTTTCAGCTGTCCGAGCTTGGACAGTGGCGGTATTGGCGAAAGGGATCTCAAACTGATCAGAATTTTTTAGTCCAAACTTCCTTTTAGTGGTCTTCCTTTTTGCTTCGTGATAAATATTTAATTTTTACGTTCGTTTAGCACCGGTTGTGGCAGGTGATTATCGAAGGAAGGGATATTGCTTCGGCAAATAGCCAGAGCTGTCCACAAATAAAATCAAATTTTCTTCAATTTTGCGTCAAGGCTTTTTCATTAAACACCTTTGTACAAATTCCTTAATTTCCATCCGCTACAATCAGTGTAAAAATAAACGTACTTTTCGTTACGTCTAGCATCGATTAGCTTTAGCTAACTAGCGTTAGAAAAATCGTCTTCTAAAAAGCCATAGTTCTAAATAAAATCCATTGCCTTTGATATAGCCTGTGTTTAATTACAATCCATTGAAAATCAAGATATATTCTTAAAAATTCTCTACTTTAGAAACTACTTGTTTATCACGATTAAATGATGAATAGTAATTGTACAAAGAAGGTCTCAGCAGATTGATGACTGCTTGCAGTAGACCTGTGTTAATTTTTCAATCTTGATCGATCGATATGTTCCCCCATCAGCAGGTCCTGAATTGAAATAAATTGTATTATTTTCTTTATTATATCCATTTTGAAATCACTGGTGATCCCTGCGCAGCAAAGAGGATGCGGAGAAGTACTATTAATTTCGTTGTAAAGACTGAAGTGGAGAAGGGAGTCTTAAAAGAGAGGTGGATTTCATAATAACTTTCTTCCCATATAAAGGGGGGGTCATTAGGGAGGGGGTAGTAGAGGATTTAGGATAATGATCGGTAACAACCGATAAGGAGAGCCATGCATTCACGAATCCACCGTCCTCAGTCCTTGATAATGTATTTACAGTCGAGCGTACGTCCCATAAACGACCATCTAAAATGGGAATATCTTACTGGGGCCGGTTGCTCGAAGCCTGGTTAGCGCTAACCGTTGGTTAAGAGGTATCAAAATGTATAGGTTTTCCATGGTATTTAACGCTGGTTAGCACTAACCATGCTTCGAGCAACCCGGGCCTGGTCGCTTACAGGAGGTGGTCGTTTGCAAGAAAGGGAATGGCGGATCCAGAGGGGGAGGGGCCGGACCTCCCCTTATTTTTAGACCAAACTGAGGCCCGACGGGCCGAAAAAACTTCTTTTGGAGAATGCCACCCCCCCTTTATCTCAGGGCCTGGATGACCGGCCGGCCCCCGGTTCCTTGTCTGAAGGTCTGGCTCCGCCATTGAATCGTACGATAAGGGGTGTCTTCCGAGAGGTCCGGACACATCTATTTTATGGAAAATAAATTATTGCATGCAATTTCTAATTTACAAAATGTGTCGTTTCATGTCTTCATTAAAGGTTTTTTTGTATAATCTGAGTACCGTAGGATAAATAGCAAACCTTGAGGTCAAAATTTGCGTCAAGTGGTCTCTTAGAAAAGGTTATATGTCTAGAGACTAACTCGAAAACCTCGCGGTTCATTTAGGCTCTGGACATTTCCTTCATTAACACTTATTTTTTTTGTTATCTTAGAAATTAACTCAAAAACGTAAATATGTATAATAATAATATATACACGGTGTAACTTAAAAAGATAAGAGAAATGCAAATAAAGTTGTTGTTGTTAAAAACAAAGGAAAATTATTAAACTGTCAGCCCCAAAACTTGGTCGCGGTCGCTTAGAAAAGGTGGTCGTTTACAAGAGGTTCTAAGCTGCAAAGCTTTGACTTGGAAAATTTTGGTATTTTGGATAGGCGTTCGCTTATGAGTAACCTGTTCCGGCTCCGAGACGGTCGGGTGGCTAGGGCCCAGCAAAGATATTCGCGTACGCCAAATTGAGAAAGCGCGAACGCGATAACAAAACGGGAGGAAACTGGGGAGAGGAAGGGCCCTTTTCTTTCTCTTCCTTTTTCCCGCCATCGCCCCCTTTCCCCAGATCACGTACTTATATTTTCGCATGCCTTCAAGGAAGCGTCATTTGCATCCCTACTATCTGAGAGGCTGGAACAGGCTACTTATGGGAGGTAGTCGCTTACGAGCGGGTTATCGCACATGGCGGGTTGGACTGTAACAATCAATCAGAAAATTATACTGATGTGAACCAACCACAAGGAATCCAGGATTTTACAACCTCGTTCCCGGAAATCACTTGTCATCCATTTTTTAAGGGAAAAGCCCTGGGGACGAGGTTGAGGATTTTAGACAAGTGATTTCCGGTTTTCCCTGCCAGGGAAAAAGCTTTCATCCTATCAGTATTTATGAAATGGTTAAATCTGACTTGGCGAATCGTTCTGGGGGATACTCGCTTAAAGTTGCTTTAATGGTGGTATGCCACTAGATAGCTAAGACTTTGAGACTATATACACATACACATATACATATACTTGTTATTCCTTTTTGATAGAGCGACTTTTCTATGACCTTGAAAAATGGTTTCGGTAAGTGCTCGTCGGTTTATCAGCCAATAGATGAAAAGGTCAAAACATGGACTCTTCGTTTTCCCGCCAAAGAAAACCCTAAAATGGAGAAAGCATTGTTCGATTGGCCAATCGTGTTGCAGTAAAAAAATCGAAGTATCGATTGATTTCTAGAAAGTTCTCGGGCATGAAATTTTTTCACTGGAGCGCTCACTTAACCAACCATAAGCCACGCGAGTTTGTATCCGTTCGACAAACCAATGAAATCGCTCTATTTCCGTTCGTTTGTTGTTTCTGTTTTGTTCGCGCATTTTCATTTCAAGTTCATACGAAAATCGGCTCTAACATGCAGTGTAGCGGTAAACGAAAAAGTGAAAATTCGTCCACTGTCGTGTGAACTGCACTTGCGGGGTCTTCATAATGCTGTTTGCAACGAGTACGAGCCAGAAGCTTAGGAAAGGTTTGGCAAAGAGACTCAGGCAAAGAGAGTGTCGACTATTTAAATTCTAAACTCTTTTGTGTCTCTTTTCCTCTTTTGCGTGACCGCTCATGATTTTTTTCACATGCCAAAAACCATGGAGCAAACAGTGTTTATATTTTTAGAAACTGTGGACATGAAATGACTTGAACAAAAAACGCTGAATATAGGTTTGCAAACAAAAATTGTAGACTTTATTGCAACACTGACTTACCATGAAAAATGCCTTGCTTCAAGAGCGCCGATACAGAGGACTCGGTGGAGTCCAATACGGTTCATAACCCTACCAAATTCGGACCGGGGGTACTCATCAAAGTGTTATACGATGCGAGTGAGACTTTGCCCCGAGGTCCAACCCCTTACCCTTTGCTATACGCTTTTTGACAGAAAAAAGGACCCAAAAGGGCTAACAGATGCATTTTATGGCTGTCAAAGAGTCGTAAAAACGCTCTGGTTTTGTGATTTATTCGTATTGAAAAGACAGTGCATTTACAGCGGTTAAAAGGGGAAGCAAAGTTCTAAACTAGGTATGTAAATGGGGTACCAGTTGTCAATAGAAGGTTTACGAAAGGGGTATACATGTTATGTTAAAAATGGTATGTAAAAGGACAAGGGTCAGAGCCAGGGGGAGTTTCTCCGTACCAAACCCCCCGGAAGTACCTTGCTCCCGGCTCCCATCAAAACCGCATCGGTACATGGGTAGTCAATTTAAGGCAAGCTTGTGAATGGCGTCTGAACTTGGGCCTGGGTATTAGAAAATACTCGTACAATGGAACCCCGCTCTAGAAACACCCACTTACTACTGACCCCTGTATATAACCGACATTTTCGTTTGTCCTGACCAAAAGCCCTTATATTTTCTTTAAAATTAATCCGCTTAATACGGACACTTTATCTGAGCACTTTATCTGAGCACTTTATCTGAGCACCTTCTATTACTGAAGAACTTACTAGTGAAAATCTAACAGTAACTAAAAGAAAGGGCGATTAAACATTCAAAGGTTCGGTCTAATATTTAGTCGACTTGACTGAGTCACAATCTAAAACCATCAGTAGAAAGTGAGGTCAGGGATTCCATTCTTGTGTAGACTGTAAAACAGTCGTTTTTTTTTTTCTCAAAATCGGTTTAACATAACGCTAAAGAATAGCCTAAGAGTCTCACGCGCCCGAAGCACGCGAGTCTCTCTCCAGTCTCGCTCTTTGTTTTCAGCCTCGTGCCAGACCTTTTGTTTGACTGTTCGCGCGCACTTGGATACGCAAAAATACAGACTGTTTTGCAGTCTAATGGTTTTAAGAGGTTTTAGTCCGAGACTATCAATAAAAGACTTTGAGGTTTCTTGAGAATGAACTTATTACAATTACAGGGTTAGAAATTAAACGTTTTCTCGTCTGCTTTCGTCTTCGCATCGATAAAACATGTGTTTTCCTGAGAGCACCCTTAATACGGAAACCTGGCTAATACGGACAAAGAGGGAAGTCCCCTTACTGTCCGTATTAACTGGCTTCATCTGTAACATAGTACAATGCTAACGTTTTTAGGTCCAGGTGGAATAGCCCAGGGGACAAGCGCAAAAAGGGGAAGCCAAGCAAAGAAAAGCGCGAATGGGAAAAGTGAGAGGGAGCCTTTCCCTTTCTTTCTCCCCCTTCAGTTCCCTCTTCAGCTCTCCCATTCCCTCCCATTCCCTTCTCCCCTCACCCACTCCCCCCCTTTCCGACGCCTGCCTCGCAGACTATGCTGCACGAGTAGCATTATTCTATCTCATGAGCTATACACAACAGAATACACTGAATTAGAAACTCGCATCAGATGGAATGGAAAGTCTTCTGCTGTAGCGTCATTGAGTTGACATTCGCCAAAATTTCCTCCTTGCTCTGATATGAAGTTGACCGATTTACAAAATGGCCAGTTGGTGCAGATCAGCGCACAGTGAATTAAAGACGACAAGGATTGTTTGTAGATCACGTGATGTGCCAGACTTTTCTGCTCGTGTATGATGAAGTTCTGTTCTTTTTTCAGTGCATTTTTGTCTGAAAAGGAAACAGAAAGGCTTTTTATTTCGAGTTTGACAGAAGCCCACAACCCGGAGTTACTATAGCAACTCTGCCGCCGCGTTTTCTCGGACCGCTTTATTTTTATATACATTTTAGAGTGCTTTTTTCAGCGGAAACGGAATCTCCGATCCACCTATGAGCGCATTCCAAGTGTAAGATATAAAAACGGGAAACTAAACCTCTTTCAAACGTCAAACATATCATTTTTAGGTCTGTGGGTTTTGCTGACTGGTCTATGTGACTAAAAGTATATTCTGAATTCATGCCAAATTTGTTCTTAAAATAAACCGGTCGGTGACAACGCTATGACACGAGTACATGGCAGTTGCTCTCTCAGGGTTATGGACTCCTGAGTTTGATGAATTGGGGTGTGAAATAACTCCACCTCCAATACCAATCCATCACGCCTCTTTTACATAAGTTTGCATACACTATAACTTTTGTACATTCACTATAATTTGTTCTACTTAGAAGAGCAGTCATACCTTAGCCTGTGTACAGGCTATCATACCTAAGCGCTCATCCCTATTCATTGATTGCTGCCTAAGCAGGCTATAGACATCGTAATAAGTGAGCGTCGTTTACGCGGACGTCGCCGTCGACGTTACTTAACCTTGAGCCTGCTGTCAAACCGAGGGGAACTGGGTACAAGGTACAAGTCTGTATACTATGGGATTAATATATAGATCTCGATGATATTTATTGTTTGCTCAAACAAAATATAAAATCGTGTAACGCTACACGGCGAAGGCAACGAGAACGGTGAAAAAACAACAGCAGGTCTGATTAGCAAAAAAGCAAGTTTGCACGTGCAGCACACTTTTTTGTACATTTCTTTGCGTTGTTTTGTACGACTACAACGTGAAACTTCCAGAAACTTCCTAGTTACACGTTTTATGGAGGAAATGTCGTACGTGTTCTTGTTCACTGCCGCTCTTTTTCACCTTCATGACCGCTAGCATTTCTCATTTTCTTAACCCCGCTACAAAATTTTCATGTTGTTCTTCCAACAGAAAAAGTCTCCTTGGTTATTTATCTCTCGCTCTAGCTCTGCCGCTCTTTTTCTCGTTGAGCTTCGCTACCTGCCGCCTACTTTCTCTTTTCTCTGTCCTTCTCTTTCCTAAGATGCCAAATATGTGGACATGACAATTAATCTAAGCTTAATACTTTAAACAACAGGGATACAGAAACAATTTCCGCTTTCCGTTTTCGTCTTTATTGACTCTTTAGTTGTCTCTGCTTCACAAGACGCGGGTGGCTACGCGATTTTCAGCCAAAATAACCTCGAATTGCATTTAAATTGCCATACCTGTTCGTTGAGTTATTTTACATTGGTATACCTGTGGTGTGGACGGACGGACGGGCGTACGGTCACGTGATTACCAAAATTTCTCGAATGGGTAGATTACCACATTTTCTTGGGTCTGGGGCTACGCTCTCGCGTGGAGCTCCGTTATAGTGTTCTAAAGTGATGACGTCTTAAAAATTAAATTTGTGAAATTATGAGATTTGTCAAGATATTCTGAAAGAACAACGTCCAAGACACCTACTTGCCAAAATTAGCGCTCCTGCTCTGAGATATTAGCCCACTTATGCTCTGATGACTCCATAAAAATCCTTCTAAAATCCTGCTTGGGTCTAAAAGTTTAGACCTAACATAGTTCCCTGAAATTCTGATCCATTTCTCTGGTCTTTTGTATCTCGCCAAGCCATTCGTCTCGCCATTTTCCATGTGCTTCGTCCTTTGCTAAAGGTAGCTTCCAAATACCCATTCCCTTAGTCCTTCTACACGAACCACAGCCAAAGACGGAACAGTTGACCCCCGGCATAACATAAATATATATTTCTTTCAAAATAATAAGTATATAGTGCTTAAACACCCGGAGAAAACTAACGAATAGCGCACTAATAACAACGAGAGTACTCGATCGATGATTTTGTGTGCACTTTCGCGATCACGTGACAATGCAAAAATCATAACAAAGACATCGCTCTTTGAAGCTCGCCTACTTTCATAACCAGTCCCCTCTACTAACTATGGACCTAAGTCTGAATTTAGAAGAATTTGTAAGGAGTCATCAGAGCATAACTGGGCTAATATCTCAGAGACAATTTGCCCAACAATGCTAGTTTTCGGCAAGTAGGCCTCTTGGATTATGTTCTTTGAGAATATCCCGACAAATCCCGTAATTTCACAAATTTAATTTTTTATGACATCTCACTTTAGTACTCTATTAACCAGGGAGCCACGTATAAAATCCTCAAGCACGGTTGTTCATGGGGCTAAGAATGAACGAGTTATACATACACCCATCCAACATCTTCAAATATGGGACTCCAGCAATCCATACATTTCTTTGTAAATTTTCCTGTTCTAAAATGGCTCTATCTTCTTCAATATTGGCCCGATTAACACCACGTTCGGGGATTTTATTTGTCAAAGCTCGGTGCGCTGTTCCTGACTATTTGTATCTAATGTTGACAATCCCACAACACACGGACACGTCCTCTCTCGGTTAAAAACTAAGCAATTACCTGGCCGCAGTTTGGGTTGCGAGCTTGTGAATTTACACACAAACGGATACCACATCTCACATGGTGTGTCATTCCACCTGCCGGTAGGTTCCACGAGGATAACACAACAGCCGTCTACTACACAATCGCCGTTAGTTTCGTTAGGTTCTCCGTCTTCCCACCTAGTGTAATCAAAAGTGCTGCCATCCAACCAGACAAAGCTGTCATTGGCTTTTGCAGCACGGAGACCAATGAAGACGTCCTCTCCTTCGGAAATATTGTGGACGAATTCGTTTTCTTGGAGACTTGCAATGGACACCAATTCAGCGCCACTCTGCCTACAAATGGAGGAGGCGTTGGAGAATGGTTTAAAATCTTTGCTTAACTTGTAGCAGGCCTGGTTCCATTCTTGCCATCCCATTTTACACTGGATTGAAAAGGCGCGCCAAGACAGTGAAACAACTGAAAAAAAAAAGAAAAACAGAAGTATAAATCGAAAATGAAAAATAGGCAAATAAGGAAAAGAGTAAACATTTGGTACAACCAAAAGTGTAGGTAGTCAATCGAGTTCCTTAAACATTCGTAACAGGGCCTTCAGAGTTTTGTTCCTAGGCTATTGTAGCTTATCAGAAATAACGCAAATAGCGGAAAAACATCATCGACTTAAGCATTTTCACACAAACGTGACGAAAAACAATCTTAATGATATCACGAGGGATCATTCCCGCCCGAGCAAAACTGATTGTCCGTGCAAAATCAAAGAAACATGGTTTATTCAAGAAATGCAGCCAGCTTTTTATGTGAACCTCAACAGCTCTACCGTTTAGCAATAGCTTATCTTACATTCCGGTTGAGGTTGTTTCGCTTCAGGTCTAGTCTGGAGATAGCCTGCGAACGGCAAACGTTTCTCCTTGCTCATCGCCGCTAAGGGACGTTTCGTTCCTCCTCGCGAAACGTCTCTCAAAGACGATGAGCGAGGGGAAATGGCTGCTGTTCGCAGGCTAGTTTGGAGACCCCTTATTCATTTTTTTATACATGAGTAGATGTCAAAGAATTGTAACTTTCACTCTTGAAATTGTATGTTGACTAGCCCAAGAAACGTCGAGTTTGTAGAAAAATGCGTAAAATCTATAACTGACAAACCGCCACACAAACCGCTTGATTCAGCAGGCGTTTGCCGGGCAGGAACACCTGACGATCCGGTGAGAACGTCTGCGTGGGAGGCTCTTCCGGGGGGCACTCAACAAGGTTTTATACGGGGGTGCGCGGGCGCTCCGCCCAGAGACGATCTAACACCTTCACATATCCGTTGACAGAAAAGGCCCCTCTTTCATATACCTTCTATTTAAAACCCTTTCAGAAGTCTGTTCAGAACGCTGCATCTTTTTTAACGCTGTAAATTAATCGTACTTTAAATATGAATAAATCACTAAACCAGGTTGTGTTCTTGGCTTTTTCGCAATTCGCGCTCATAAGATGTCTCTGTTAGCGTCATTAGGTCTCTTCATATGATTACAGTCCCAACTGACAGATTCACTTACCCTTTACCAATATGCCATTTCTGAGTTACCCCGGGCCTCTGTATCAAAACAAGGTTAAGTGCTCTACCTTTGATATGAAAATAAATCTTCATTCTCGTGCAAATAAAACTCATTTTCACAAGAAAGGTTGTGCACTTGGCCTCATTTTGAAAGTGATGGTCTTTGGAACTCGGAAGTGGCCAATTGACAAATGGTACCCCTTTCACATACCTAGTTTAGAACTTTGCATCTCTTTTAACTGATGTAAATGCACTGATGTAAACACACAAAACAAGTGGTTCCCCTTTCAAAACCCTAGTTCAGTGATTTGCGTCCTTTTTACAGTAACTGACTTAAATGCACTGTCTAAATAAATGACAAAACCAGGACGTTTCGTCGCGTTCTACACAACATAAAATCCTTTTGTTAGTCATTCTGGGCCTTTTTAAAGACCGAAAAGAAGGATTTTCTTACCCTTCGTGGTGAGAATGGAGATCTGGAGCCAGGGTGGAAATTACATTTATTTAAAACTTCTTGAATTTCTATAGTCAACTTGTCCCATAATGTATTTGTCTTTCGTTTTGTTCATTTTAGCTAAAGTACAACATACATTTCACTTGAAGATAACTAGCGATTTATATCTGGGATACAAATTCAGATTCCCGATGGCTTCGGCTGGCGCATCTTGACTCAAGATGCGCCAGCCGAAGCCATTTCCCATCAAAAGCAATTTCTAACTTGCGTTTGTTATTAATAAAACAAGGGAATTTCGAACAATAATAACAACATCACATTCTCTAGGATTATGGTCTCGTGCAATTTCCTGAAAATCGTAATAACCGTAATAGGTGTCCGGATGGTAGGAGAGTGAAACTCACTGATGATGAAATATTCACAGCTTTTATAGTAAAACTTCAATTGGTTGAAAATCCTTCAACGTTGCATTTAGAAAAAAGATTTCAATTTTATCAATAGCTGAGTTTTTACGATAGCTTTACAGAAAGACATTAAATACGCGAAGCGACTTTAAGTGATAAAATGCAAAATTTGTTTTTCGTGTGCAGGTGAAATTGTTTTTAGAAATCATTTAAATGTCTCCGCTCAGTAAATTAAAAAAACTGTATTTCAATGCAAAATCTTTGTATCGTGCCCGTGCAATTGAACACCGGAAAACCTCGAAACTCGTTAACAACATTGTGCAATTGTCTTTGGAGTTAAAGCAAAAGTTTAAAACACATGAGACAGAAACCATTCTTACTGCACAATAATGACGTTTTGTTTTCCACATCGCACACAATCGGACGAGAATACCGTTCCGGCTTTTTTACGATATTCAACCTTTGTAATATTGCTCCTTTTTAAAGCCAAGTGTATATGTTTCTTTGTAGGCTTTTCAAAAGACATAAGAATATCGGGAAGAAGAATATTGGCCTCATAGCCGGGATAGTTGTCTGTTGAAATTTCGAGTTGTCCTTAAGCTATTATCTAAGCTATTATCTATTCTGCGGCACAAGTAGAATTGGTTTCTTAGTTTTGAAACATCTAGATAAATCCCCAATAACATGTGCATAGTGCCTAATTATTTCCACCTAACACAGCCAATCAAAATTTTGCAACAAGACTTAACCTCACGGCAAACAAAAGTCAAAGGATTTGTTTTACTGCACAGTATTCTAGCGATTGTGTGCGACATTCTTACTTTTCAGCTGTCGGTGCTTGGACAGTGGCGGTATTGGCGAAAGGGATTTCAAACTTATCAGAATTTTTTTGTCAAAACTTCCTTTGTGATCTTCCTTTTTGCTTTGTGATAAAGATTTAATTTTTACCTTCGTTTAGCTCTGGTTGTGGCAGGTGATTATCGAAGGGAGGGATATTGCTTCCGCAAATAGCACGAGCTGTCCACAAATAGAATCAAATTTTCTTCAATTTTGCGTCAAGGCTTTTTCATTAAACACCTTTGTACAAATTCCTTTCCATCCGCTACAATCAATGTAAAAATAAACGTACTTTTCGTTACTGTATAAAAGCTTAAAAATTGTATTCAAGTACTAAATCCAAACACTTTTTTCAAACCTTATTTTAAAGACGTCTAGCATCGATTAGCTTTTTCTAACTAGCGTTAGAAAAATCGTCTTTTAAAAAACCATAGTTCTAAATAAAATCCATTGTCTTTGATATAGGCTGTATTTAATTACAAGCCATTGAAAATCAAGATAGAGTCTTAAAACGTAACGTTCAAATGTCTTAAAATCATTGAAAAAAATATCACCAACTTACTTGTAAATGTGAAACGAACTACCGAAAACCACCTTCTCCAAATCATGACGCTCCGTCAAGGAAAGGTTGTTGCAGAAAATATATACCCGCTTTTGCACCTCATTTTAGTATCTAATGATATAAATTCATAAAGGTACCGCTTGTGTAAAAAATGACAGATAGCATATGTCTCAAGGACGGGCTGTCGGAACACATTACATTGTTATCAGGAACATTCCACTCGAAACCGATGACGTCATAAGCAGTACATTTCCCCTCGTTTTGATTTCTGTTTTCCCCCCTCCCGTTTGTCTCTAATTACTGTAGAGTTTCCTGAGTAAATTATTTTATTATCAAGACCTGAACTATGGAATAAAAAAATGTACTTGTCACAGTAGAGTCCTTTAGATTCGAGGAAAATAACGACTACGAGTACGAGATTTAACTTAAAGTTTTTTCGCGTATTCTCAAAATATAGACACCCCGGAAAGCTTCATTGTGTGTGTGTGTGTTTTTTTTAATTAGAAAAGATAGCACTGTTATCTATTTTGAGGGGAGTTAAGCCTCCTCTCAATCGCAAAATGATAAAACTTCTGACATTTGATAACTCGTTTCCGCCATTACGACATTCTCGCTAAAACTCGTATTAGAATGACGACGGCTACCAAGTTTTCCCGCCAAAACGACGCTGTTTCACTCCCGCGCTCTACTTATTATTGAGGAAATCTCGACCTCGTAGTCGTACTCGTCTTC